CAGTCTATGTGAAGATCTCCTGTCTTCTGTTGACCAGCCCCTGAAAATCGCCAGAGACAAGGTGGTGGGAAAGGACTACCTTTTGTGTGACTACACTGATCTGCCTCGCCCAGGAAGAGCGCAATGATGGTGCCAACTTGGGCCAGAGAAGCAATGTCCTCCAAAACTGGACTGAAGAACAAAACGACAGCAACTTGTCTGTTCCCCTTCCCCCAATTCCCCAGCGCTGTTCCCATTCCTGCAATTCCCCAATTAAAAAAAAAAAATGGGGAGGGTGGACTAACTGACTGGACAAGATTCCAGACTTGAGAGTCAGGCAGACCAGGGTTTTCATCCTATTTCATGTATTAGCTGGAAGACTTTAAGCAAGTGACTATTAGCATTATTTTAAGGCTTTAATGAGATAATGTATGTGAAAAGCCTGCGCATCATTCTTAGAACATAATAAGCACTCAACAAGGAACAGTTATTATAGTAATCATGATAATGATCATAATTATTAAAGTTTTATTAGGGCTTTTTTAAACTCTTAAAGGCAAGGACTTAACTCTGAAATACTGTGACCAGTTGTTGTGAATGAGCTTGCTCATCTGATCCTGTGCTTCTTAAGGCAATTTGTTAAGAAATAGATTGAAATTATGGAGAACTTTGCAAAGTGTTTACTATAATACATATTATACATACATATACAATACATAATTATATAGTATTATAGTAATGTATTCAGCAAACAATGTGATTGTAGGCATTGTGATAAATACAGTCATGGGCTGATTTCCTCTTTTTTTGTCATAATGTAACGCCTACTTGAAAAGTTTTAAAGGTTAAAACTCATAGTCAGTAGTAGCACTATGAGTATGTGACGAGACTGGCTCCTTCCGTTTTACAACTAATTTAGAATTTTCTTTTAGTTTGCAGGTTTTGAAAATCTTCTCTTTATAATGTTCAGGCTTGATTTAAAATTACTCTCAGACAATAATAATTACTAGAAGTGAGTTGTGTTCACTACTGTACAACTAGGATGGCAACTAGATATAATTCATTGAATAAGTGTATATTGAGTGTTCATTACATTCCGGGCACTGCTCTGGGCGTTGTAAGATAGCAGTGAATAAAACAGACCAAAACCCTGTCCTCATGAAATTGACCTTCTATTGGGGTTTTGACTTCTGTTTGGGTGCCAACTCTAACAGAGGTCCTGTCTGTGAGGCTCCGTTGACAATGGCTGGGATACCATACCAGGACTTATGAAGAAAGGATGCTGTAGCTAGCTGGTGGTTTCCACCAGCGGTGAGGTGTGGGAGAGTTTGGGACTGTGCTGTATTTGCCATCCTCCCTGTGGAGAGTGCTGTCCAGTCAGGCAGCCAGTGGCTATTGAACACTTGAACTGTGGCTAGCCCAAATTGAAATATGCTGTAAATATGAAATACACACTAGATTTTGAAGACCATCATTAGAAAACAAAAATAAACATTAAGGGACTAAGAATCTATCTTTAAAAAATTAACAGTGAGAAAAAGGAAAACAAAATAACCAAAGAAATAAGAAATAGTTAATTAGTAAAGCTAAAAGTGAAAACCAATTAAATTTAAAAAAAACTGCTAGAGAGGACGAATAAATCTAAAATCTAGTTCTTTGAAAAGACTAATGAAATAGATATTTCCTCTTCCCCTTTTCCCTCCTCACACATGGCAAGGAGCAGAAAGAGTCAAGATGAGGAATGCAAAACAAGTTAGATCCCCAGATAGAGGAGAATTTAAAGAAATAGTTACAGACATCACTTCACACAATTCTGTGGCAATAGTTGAAAATTTAGAAAAAAAAATCATTTCTTGGTAAAAAAACAAGTGAGTAAAATTGATCCCCAAAGAAGTAGAAATGTGAACAAACCAATTAATTACTATAGAAGATTAAAAGGTGATTAAAAACCTTCTGTTGAAAAAAGCCACCCAAACCATATGCCTTCCCAGCTGAGTTTATCTGACAGATAATCACAAAGTTATTTACCATTCCAGATGAAACTCTCCTAATTAATTATATAAAACAACAAACTTTAACACCAAAACCTGAAAAATATAGTATAACAACATAAAAGTATAGATCAATCTCACTTATGAATATAGATGCAAAGATTCAAAATAAAATGTTAGCAAACAAAATCTATGTAGCAAAAGAAGAATATTCTATGACCAAACAGGAATTATTCCAGAAATATAAGAATGGTTCATTATCAAATAATCTATTACATAAGCTATTGTATCAATAAACTAAAGCATATCAATAAATGCTAAAAATATATTCAATAGAATTCAGCAGCCATTCCTGATAGAATCTCTTAGAAAAATAACATAGAAGGAAACCATTTAAATATATTTAAGATTGGCAAAGCTCAGCAAGCAAATATACAATGGCAAATCACAAAAAAAATTTCTATCAAAAATGGCATATTTTGGGCCGGCCGAGTGGCTCAGTTGGTTAAGAGCTTGCTCAAGAGTTTGAGCTCTGAGCAACAGCGGTTCGATTGCTGGCCTGAGCTGAGCAGCCGCTGAGCTGCCAACAGGTGGCAGGATGGCTCAGCTTAAAAAAAAAAAAAAAAAAGGCATATTTTTTGGAATCTAAAAACAAACAAACAAAAATAAAACCCCAAACCAAACTCATAGATACAGAGAACAGATTGATGGTTGCCAGAGATGGGGAAGTGGAGGGTGGGTGAAATAGGTGAAGGGAGTCAAAAGATACAAACTTCCAGTTATAAAATGAAAAAGTCATTGGGATGTAATGTAGAGCATGGTGATTATAGTTAATAATACTATGTTGTATATTTGAAAGTTGTTAAGAGAGTAAATCTGAAAAGTTATCACAAAAAATATTTTGTAACTATGTATGGTGATGGGTGTTAACTACTAGACTTATTGTGGCGATTATTTTGCAATATATACAACAATCGAATCATTATGTTATACACATGAACCGAATATATGTGATGTCAATGATACCTCAATAAAAAAAATGCACATATTTTAAAATATAGGATATTTTTGCAGTATTATTTACATTGCCTTTTAGGTTTTGGCAAACAAAGAAATTAAAAATCTGTCATCTATCTAGGAGAAAAAGGAAAAGGATTCCCACTTTGCATTAACATAAAATAAATCCCAGGGAGATTAAAAACACAACTCAATGAAGATATCACACAAATAAATTAAGGTTATTTTATGTTCAATCTAAAGGATGAGGTATCCCTTGATAACCATGGTTGAAGAATTCCAAAGCTCTAAAAGAAAAGATAGACATATTTGACTACATAAAAATGGCTATCTTTGTATGACAAAAGTTATAAACAAAGCAATAAACAAACAATAGATTTGGAAACATACTTTTATCCTTTGTTTTTTTTCCCCTAGGTACAATATTTACACATTCAGGAAAAAAAGCCAATTTTCTCTGTGAAAAACAAATCTGATAAGAGCTAGAAAATCTCTGAGGATAAAAAACATATACACATACAATTTATATAGTATCAAGGTCTTCGTGGTGACTATTTAAACCCCATCCACTCACATTAGGGTGTGGTCCATGTACCCTAAATGAAGAATTCAACAACAAAAACAAATAACTCTATTAAAAGTAGGTGAACAACTTAGATAGACATTTCTCCAAAGAGGTATAAAAATGGCCAATAAACATCTGAAAAAAATGCTCAACATCATTAATTATCAGGGAAATGCAAATTAAAACCACAATAAAGTATCACCTCATACACAATAGGATGGTTACTGTAAAAAAAACACACAAAATAACGTGTTGGCAAGGATGTAGAGAAATTGGGACCCTTGCTCACTGTTGGTAGGACTGTAAAATGGTATAGCTGGTATGGAAAGAAGTATGCTGGTTTCTTCAAAACTAAAAAATAGAATTACCATATGATCCAGCATTCCTTTGGGTATATATCAAAAGAACTAAAAGCAGGGAGAACCACAGACGCCGGGACCGGGACCGCCGCCGACGCCGCCACCATGAGTGATCAGCAGCTGGACTGTGCCTTGGACTTAATGAGGCGCCTGCCTCCACAGCAGATCGAGAAGAACCTCAGCGACCTGATTGACCTGGTCCCCAGTCTATGTGAAGATCTCCTGTCTTCTGTTGACCAGCCCCTGAAAATCGCCAGAGACAAGGTGGTGGGAAAGGACTACCTTTTGTGTGACTACAACAGAGATGGGGACTCGTATAGGTCACCATGGAGTAACAAGTATGATCCTCCTTTGGAAGATGGGGCCATGCCTTCTGCTCGACTGAGAAAGCTGGAGGTGGAGGCCAACAATGCCTTTGACCAGTACCGAGACCTGTATTTTGAAGGCGGCGTGTCATCTGTCTACCTCTGGGATCTGGATCATGGCTTTGCTGGCGTGATCCTCATAAAGAAAGCTGGAGACGGATCCAAGAAGATCAAAGGCTGCTGGGATTCCATCCACGTGGTGGAAGTGCAGG